TATATATATATCCCACTATAAGGTAAGGTGGAGGACCTGTAATGGTGTGGGCCAAAATAGACTTCAGCTGAATAAATCCCCATTTACTCTTTGATGTATCCTCACATGTTGGAGCTTTTTGAGCAGCATCATAAACACTTTTTGTTATTAAGTTGCTAATTATCAACCTTGATTTAACCTTGAACATCCTGAAGTCAGAGACGTTGATTCTGTGCCACCAAGCTGAAAGCATAACGACTCTTATGCTTGGAACCAAATCACTGAGGTCATATCTTGTTTCTCATCTGTCAGGAGAGCATATGAGTCATTGCCATAGCCTGTCTTACTGCAGCCGATGACATAGAGAACCTTATTTTTACTTGATCAGATCAATTTTCTCATTTATATAAAAGTAGAACAAACAGGATGCTCTGTTTTTACTTGATTTTCATATTTTACACAGAGAGAAAGGAACTGCACATTTTAGGAAATGCTTATGTTTTAATCAAAGCTATAAGGTTATAATTCTCCGGCATTAACTATAAGTAGTTTACTATTTATTTGACTTGCATTCATTAGGATTAGACTCCCGAAATACGAGTTGAAACTAAAAGTTTAAAAAGGGACAAAGCTGAAATGAAATTGCTCAACAGTTGCAATTGCAGTTGCAACATTTCCCTTATTATGAAACAGGTGGATTTATAATCCCATAAGATCACATGCAGAAGCATGACACTGATGATAACCATATTAAAATAGAGGCATGGTGTGTTTTTTAAACAACAAGTACAAACTGTTCCCTCAATAGCTTGATTTTGACTGGGGTAGTATGTTATGTGAATTTCTGAGCTCCTTTTGAAAAGAAGCGTTAGGTCATTCACTTTTTTTTCCTGTGATTCTGAGGGAACATAGGAATACATTTTTAGATATTTTATGATATTTCTGGATTTTTAAGCTGTCTAATTGTTAAAATAAATAAATGTTTGGGGGTCCTTTTTCTTTTCTTTTTTAATGCTGCTTAAAATGAACAAGGTTAGTGTAAGCTTAAAAGCCAAGAAATAGCTAGTAAAACTCAGATATGTAATACAGAAATCATAAATCGTGGGTCCATAAAACAGGTCAAATGACAAAAGTCTGCTCAAAAGAACTGGAAAAAAATAACCCTAACTCCAATTTAGACTTAGACAAACTTTTTTGTAATTTGTATACACAGAGTACATACTAAACCAAATTTCAACAGACTTATATTTGAAAAAGAGAGCAGAAACTTATATAGTAGCTGTTCAGCTTATCAAAAGAGTAGTCAAACACTTAAAAACCAACTGAAAATAAAAAAACCACCTCCTCATAGTTCTAAGCAGTGTTATGAGCCAATTTCAGGACTCCAGATTGGTTTGCTCCGCCTTTTTTCCATCTCTCTTAGCCAAAAGCCTGGAGCAGCTGCCACTGAGGTGACAAAGATAACAAGAATCACATCAAATACAAACATAACAGAGTAAACTAAACTGTGTGCACTTATTTCATAATACAGCGTTATTTAAATTAATCAGTGCTGAACCGAAACCAATTCCTTATTATTATAGAAATTAGTTCCCATATTTAAAAGAAGCAAAATGCACTGAAATTTGCTATCCAATTGTTATGACAGTAGATGTGTCTCCTTTCATGTTTTTTTTTTTCATGTTCATGTTGAAATATCACATTAAAAAACATTTTATAAAAACAGTAAATGCACCAAATAGGAGATGCAAACTCATTTGTCAAATAAATTCTGATGTAGTGAGCATTTTTCTCACACGACTGATCATGTTCTACCCTGAATTTAAGCATTAGAATCACTCTTCTCTGTCGATGTTTCCAGATTTCGTCTACCATTGCTAATACTTGCCGACATGATAAAGTAAGAAAAATGGGCTCAATTATAACACATTCATTGAAACTTTTGTCCATTGCTGATCCGTGGTCCGCTCTAGTTTGCTACATGTACTTCCTGGTTATTACAGCCAAGCGAAACATAAACAAGAGACAACATACGCTTTGCATCACCTGATTATTTCACTCCAATGAATGGAAACACGTCAAATTTGTATTTTTCTTTTTAACGACATTTTAAAAGTTTGCTAAAAATTTGCATGACATTTGGATGGGAACACAACTTGTAACTGCAGCCATCACACAATGTCTGAAAAGTCATCTGGAAAGTGCTGTTGGAAAGGTGGAAGTTCCTTTTCACCTGAACCACAAAATCAGATGCGGCTGGCCGCCATGTAGAAATGAATCTACATTTGCATTAATAAACTTCTGATTTGTTCCTCTGACAGATTATGAGTTAATGCCACATGTTCTCTGACTTGTACATAAATCCTTTTTAAGTTAGCTGTAAATCTATGGAATATTTTACTGTTGGTATTGAAACCTGATTTCTGAAAATCCAGCATGCCTGTAAGAGGTAATAAAACACATAATCTGCCTTTATTGCTCTTGTTTTATTGCTGAGAACAAAAGATAGCAAATCTATTTATTCTTCTCACTTCCATCTAACACTTGCTTAAGTTTTCTGCAGCACCATGGGGCTTTCAGTGTGTTTTCAGTGTTGAAATGTCACATCTTGAAGAAAGAAAATCTACTCCTTGAATCTGATATTCAAAATTGTAAAGGTTGAGTTTTCTGACTCTCCACCTGAAGGTCCATGTTTCAACTTCCATGGAAGATAGGATGCTACATTTTCTCTGATAGAAATTATACGCTAACATTGAGCAATTTACAGCTACTACACTGGAAAAACGATCTAGAAATAAGTACAAATTTCTTAAATTAAGTGTATTTACCCTTAATTTGAGTAGGTAAATGAGATAGTTTGCAATGGAATGAGTATTTTTACTCTTAAAATAAGACAATTAGATAAAATGCGATCGAAATAGGACAATGCAATTGTGTTTTCTTATTTTAAGTGTAAATTGGCTTGTTGTTGTTGGCAAAATGTCTCTTTTACCTCCTCAATCCAAAATCAAATGCACTTATTTTAAGAAAAAATGACTTATCTAGATTTCAATTTTTTCCAGTGTAACAGTCTGACGTCTACAGACTTAGCCGACAGTTTAAATCTAACTTTAAGTTTAGTTTCACTTTTTGCACTGTAGACTTTAGTCTTTCTATATGATCCTGCTGCTTAAAAGAGAGAAGTGAATGTCCAGCTTACGACCAAAACTATGATGAAAGTTTACATTTAGAGTTGAGCATAACCTAAACTGAAAGTACAGTTATGAGGCTTCATATGTTCATTTATACACAACTATTTAACTGACATTATTACTTCAAATCGCTCTGTAAAATTGAAGTTTTGTGATATCAGTAGAAGTAAGGTTTAAAGATAAGACTACTGTAGAGATGAAAAATTAATAACTAGAGTAGTGGTGGTATTGTAAGTTTTTAACGTTGGTGAGAAATATCTGAAACAAGTTAGAATATAAATAATAGGCAAAGCCTTCATGAAAATAAGAAATCTGCAAACTCTTTAATTTCCTTTATGTTAAAGTTGATTAGCAGATACAGAGAAAAAATAATTTTAGAAAAGAATCCCAAAGATATTTGCCATGGACATCTACTTACATTGTGCACCTGGTGTCTCTACTGTTTAAACTAATTGCAAGTTTAAGGCAGCAGATTTCAGCTATCTCCAAAGCTTCATTATAATACCATGACAATAATTAGTATGCTGGAAGCTCTAAGTTGAATTAGTTACTCATTATTGTGTGCTAATTTTATCGCCTCTTTTGGTTGCCGTTTGCTGACGAATCTGAGGAATTTCTTTTCTGACAGTTTTAGAGATCTCTTTCCATTTAACAGAACTCACATTCTGCCCTTGTAAGCCCTATGGTAGAGCTCCGGACTTGGCAACATCCCCAAAGGTAAGGAGCCACATACAATCAAAGTAAACTTTATAGTCTGTATAATTGTTTAAATCAAATAATTAAAACCTGTGCTGCTCCTATTTGGATTTAGCAGAAAATTGTACTGCTCAAATACTTTGTTTATTGTCATCACTGTACAGGTCCGTAAGCACAACAGCAAACAGGGCAGATTTCAATGACCCAATATATATATATATATATATATATAAAGAATGATCCTGCATTATTTTTCATATTACTTATTAGAAATACAAATTTAGTCAACAGCTGAAATGCGTTCAGTTCCTGTTGTTGCAAGACAGCCCATTTCACCACCCTTCCACTATCGTGCTCGACAGTCAGCATGAGTCGCTTGAGAGGATATGCTATATTATATTTACTGCAAACTGTTGCCACACATTTGTAATTTGATCTCATTGGTCCAAAGGATTACTGGTTATCCTTTAACAGTCTGGTCAACCAAATAATTGATCATTTTAATAGGAAAATGCAGGCTGGAGTTGGACAAGGCTGTTAAAGGCTTAATTCTGTATAGAGTTAAAATGCAAACTTTTGGGTGGTTTGTTTTTGTATTTCTCTGACCTATGGATAGCTTGATATTGAGATCAATTTAATGGGGCATCCATTAAATGGAAGTTTGATTATCTAAGTTACAGTATGTCTAAATGTTTTTCAGTGTAAATGACCATAAAAACAAGAATCTAAAAAAATCTGACAGTGAACAACACTTGGCTAAGATCATTGCTGATCTCTCTCTTGGCTCCCTAACTGACTAAACATGTATTATTTCCTACAGGTAATCCAGTTGAGATTAAACTAAAATATATAACTGCTACTTTTTCCCATATGGTTAAAAAGACCATCTGTACTTATTTTCTAGTTTTTTTTTTTGGCTTCCTCTTTGCTTAATAAATGATGGCTGCATGAAAGCCGTATTAAGGGTAGATTTAACCTAGTAAGGTTTTGAAAAATGACTGGGTACATGTAAAAATAACAAAAGATGTAAAAATACAAATTTATCATTTATTAAGAAATTAAAGTTTACAAAACCACAAATCAGTTAATGATCAAATCTTTGACAGTGTTCATCAAAATAGATGCTTCCAATTAAGCCCCCAAAACCCACTGTAAGGCAGCAAGAAAGAAAGCAACATCCCATTGGTCACAATTATCATAAACAGGATGCCTTCAGGAAACATCACTAAAACATTCAACCGAATAAACCAAAACAATGAAACATACAAGTGGCATTTGAAAGTAGAAAAACACATGTTAGAAATGCTCTGAGAACTCTGAATAACACATGCAATCACTGATATGACATAGTCATTACAAAGAAGAGACACCACTGACTGTGCCTTCCTCCATTTCCTCAATGGAAATTTCAGTACCTTGCCAGTTCTTGAGTGTTTCAGTACAATTACTGCTTTTACTCTCAAATGTGGCTAACCTGTATGGACAGAGTGCACCTAACAGCAATGCTCTGCAATAAAAAATATATAAACCAGCATCAATGTACTTTCAGTAACATCCAAAGAAATTAAGAGATATTATTTATATTTACATATATATATAATATAAACTTAAAAAAATTCCACATATCATTTAGCACTTGATATGCTTACAAAAGTTCAACTTCGCTTAAGACAGGAAAAAAAAGAAAGAAAGTACATTCACTTCTTCAAACATTTGACTTTGGCTTGAAGGCTGTTAGACCAGCTCACCAATACAGTGTAAAGAACGGTTAGTCCGTTTATATTTTCGTATCTTACAAAAACCATCTTAAGTCATGCTAGCCCGCCTATGCTAACACGTTCCCAAAACACCAGCAGCTGGAAGCAAGAGCCGATGACAAACTGCAGAGACCCAGTTCTGCATCCTCTCCAGCATTGCTAATCATCTAAATTTGAAAATTCCGCTTGCTGTAAGCTAGATCAGTTCAAAGGAAAATATCTAAAATTGAAGTCGACCTAATATCTAGCATGATTTGCTGAAAAGCTCTTCCATAACGATAAACTGTGTAATTTTAAAGTAATGTCTGGCTCTATGCCAAACTGGCTGCGAAGGCTGGTCATCTAACAGCTTCTGTAACAACCCAAGCTGATGCCAGACGAGCCTCACGGGCTTCGCAAAAAATGCTTTGCAAAAAAACTCTGGCTTTGGAAAATCTCTTGATACCAAATTATTTCAATCTTATTTACTCGTCGAAGATTTAAACCAGTCAGCCAGATTTGCATAGTGGCCCTCTTGGGTGACGCTGTTGCTCCCAAAGGGCATCTGGAGATTTGTAAGAGGCTGTGTGATGCCACTGACATCTTGCCGTCTGTGATCCATATTGGCACCGTTGCTCATGGGACGAGGGAGCAGGTTGGTGTAAGTATTTCCATGGCTCTCTCTCTGGGACTGCATTAGAGTGCTGCTTCCATCTTGTCCAACAGAGACCTGGGGCTCCTGCTTACACTGGAAACTAGTCCCTCCAACAATGTTCTTGATGAAATCATCCCCTGACGACGTGTCCAGGAAGGAGAGGGAGCCAAAGCCCTGGGGCCCACCTCCAGGTCCTGATCCACTGAAGTTGTTGCCGTTATTGTGGACTGTATGGATGGTACTAAAGCCTTGCCACATATTCTGAATACCTTGGTTCTGGTTGGCCATTTGGTTCTGGGTGTCAGAGTTAAGATCCTCTCTTTGATGCTGTTGCTGGAACATTGGCTGAGACTCTTGCGGGTTCATCACATTTGCCTGAGTACCTGTATCCAGACACTGCAAATCCCCGATGGAGAGCTGCGGGAGGGCGTTGTTTTCACAGCTTGTGTGATCCAGTTTCTGGGTGTATCCAGATCCATGGTTCGACTGGTGCTGCCTGCTGCTGTTCGGGTAGTTGCTCATTGATCCTGATGGGTTTATGGTGACCGTGTCCATTGAGATGGTGGGGTTGTGGTTAGCCCATGAACTCCCAAGTGGTAAATTATGAGCCTGGGATGTCATCATGGCACTGGTGGACTGATCTGCCCGTTGGAAGGATGGGTTGAATAATGCGGTCTGTTGTTGCATCGTATGGGGCTGTTGCCTCATGTACATGCTGTTATGGTCTGATTAAAAGGAAAGATAGATTTTAGTACAGAAGCAGTGCAGCATCACACAGAACTCTGATTTTGCTGATTTTATATTTCCATTAACAAGATATGGAGTTTAAGATAAAACTTTTTTACCTTTTCTCATGTGAGGCATTCCACTAACTGGCACGGCCTTTGGCCTGCCCATTGCAAGACCAGTTATAGAACCACCTAAAGATTACAGAGAAACTGTGAGTGAACAATTAAAAATGCATACAGTCTGTAGTGTACTTTTTCCAGATGGGTTGCACTTGATGTACAGAATTAGTTTTTATACCTGTAAATCCAGATCTCCTAAACAAGTCCTCAATTTTGCGTTTTTTCTCATTGTAGCCGTAAGGATCTATCAAGAAGACAGAATGCTTTATTAAACAAAGGGCCCTAGTTTAACAGGCGCCTTCATATGGCAAAATAACTGTGGGTTTCTTTTCAGGGATTGGTGCTTACCTTTGTTTTCAGGGAGATATCTGAAATCCATCGGTTCACTCACTTCCTGATCCGAGGGTCGGCGCAACTGCATCTGCACAGTCACCGACTCGGTTATGTTGGTGTTAAAGTACTGCGGAGTCTTGAACACAATCGCCACTTGACGATGAACGTCAGCCTGGGAAAAAGAACCTCTGGCCTCCCATCCATTAGATGAGAAGAATCTCACCTCAATGTCATCTGTCGGGAGGGAAGACGATGGGTTGATGAGATAATGAGATGATAGTAGCAATACATAATAGATTAGTTCCTTTTACAACATGTAAAGCTAAATTTCTGGAACTTTCCTAAAAGCAATCTGTAGTTCTATCAGGGTAACCTGTAAATTCTTTCTAAGTTCTTGCATCCAGGTGGTTGGTTCTCTAAAGCTAACCAGCAGGTTCTAGGAAAGTCAGAAAATAAGCTATTCTGACAACTTCTGTCAAAATTATCTAAGCTCCAGATACATTCAGAAAATAGCCAATAAATTCATGAATATATATTTAAAAAGTAAAATTTAATTCTCAGAAATTAACCAGAGTTTTCGAGTTTTAATCTTAACGCAATATCAGTGATAGAAATTTGGGTTAAGCTCAGGAAAGTAGCTATTAAGTTTCTAGAAAGTAACCTGCAAGTTCCTGGAAAGCAACCCTCAAGTTGCTTCTTTTTTTAATGTAGGTTTTCATTTTGGGATATCTTTTAGAACTAACCCTTAGGTTAGCAAAAAGTGTGTTCTTTTAAACTAACTTGTACATTTCAGTTAAGTTTTGGAAGGCAAAATACAGACTTTGTGATTGTAATCTTTACTTTCATACTATGTTCTACAAAAGTAATTACGGTGCTTCTAGAAAGTTAGAGGGAATGTGCTGGAAGGTTCAAGGCAACTTGCAACTTACAACTAGGTGATAGTTCAGTTTTAGTAAATATCCCATTATCACAAAAACTAGTAATCTGCTTTTCCATGAGGTAACCTGCAAGTTCATGGTTAAAAAAAACTAGATTCCCAGAAAGTAACTGATAATAAACAACCAGTAAAGAAAACTGCAAGTTTCTGAAAACAACTAGTAAGTTAATCTAAAGTAACTTGTACATTTATGGAATATAACTCTATAGTTGCTTAAAACAAAAATCTATGAAACTAACTTTTTAGTTCAGAAGAGCAACTGGTAAGTTCAGACTGTTATGTATTGCTACTGAAAACTAGTGCCAAATGCAAAGAGATGGGCACAAATAGGAATGAAAAGCGAGATGAATGATTAGATTTGAGAGATGCATGTAGAGAAAAATATGCAAATTAGAAGAGAAACAATAAAAACACATACAAACGGATTTGATAAATAAAAAGCGGATATTCAGACCAGTGAATGTTTGTACCTTTTTGTACTTTGTCACACAGCAGGAAGATCTCATCACCTCCTTTAACACTTCCACTGTTCCTGTTGACCCGACAAATCCTCAGCTCAGCTGTGTTCGGGGCTCCTGATTTCATAAAATAAATATTAACATGCAAGAAAATGTATCATGGACAGAAGGGTTATTTGTGGACCTATTTATTAGTTAATATTTCTACTTGACTTCGCAGTAGCCAATATAACTGCTTAAATAGGTGCCTCTACTTTGAGGTAAAAACAGAACGTTTACAGCTGAGGTACAAGCGAGTTAGGTCACATGTCTGATGTCTGCTTTCAGAAGAGGAAGTGCTCTATGGTAACTGTGTTGTTTGAGGGTTGGTGTGCATGAAGAACTTCCTCTTTCTGTATGTGAAACCGTGTTGGTAAAAAAATAGACTGGACAGAAGCACACAGGTTTTAAGACAAACACTTGAGGTGCCGTTTCTAGCAAGTCTCAGTGTTTTCACCTTTCTATAACCAAATCGTAAATTTAGAGGGCAACAGCATATGAACAACAGTGTTAGACATAAATATATATGGCCTTAAAGTTACATCAGTCTCACCTATTAATTTAAACCCTCAGTGTAAAAAGGTTCAGACTTAGCTTAAAGTAAATACATGATTCTTTTTGACCTATTGTTAATACCTTCTAACCATCTAGTGTGATGCGATTATGGTATGTTTGATGAAGTCCAAACTTACTGTTGTCATAGATGGGGTTTGTGACGATCGGGTTGAGTGCTCTGGTGTAGTGGCCATGCTCATCTTGCAGGAAAACCTGGATGCACAGGCGAACCACGTTCAGGTCATACTCCTCCGTCTGCATCAGCTGCTCCCTTGGCACTGAGGGCACATGGACAGGCAGAAGTGGTGTAAGCCCAAAAATATACGCGCATAGTAAATAATAATATGCATGAAAACCAAGGAACCGAACTGTTTGTGCCTCTCTAAAAGTAAAGCACTCAAACATTTAGTCTCTATAAAGGTAAACGGTCCTTTCTTGGTACCAGTCAGGAAAACAAATGGTTTCCTGAAAATTAATCTATAGGTTTAAATAGTCATCTTAAGTCTACAGTAAAGTAAGCTGTAACTATTTTTATTAAAAAAAATGTGTATGCTCTTGAAAAGTTATAGAAAATGTAAGAATTTTATGCATGGAACTACTCTGTAAATTCAGTAAATTTCAAAAAGATCTGTAAAAATAACCCTCAAGTTACTACCTTGAATTTCATACCAATTGAGTTGAATAAACTTACAAGTTATGGATAAGCTCTTTGAAGGAAATAGTTTGTAAATTAAAGCTTTTTTAAAGTAATCTAAAAGTTATGATTTACATCAATGAAAAACCGCCGGTTATCGGAAAATGAAACGCATGTTTAGTAAAAGTTACATTGAGGAAGGAGCTGGTAAGTTACCAGAAAGCAGCTTTTTTTTTTTCTGTGAAAGTCTCCTTTAGGTTTAAGTGAATTTAAAAAGTAGCCTATAATTTCACAAAAAGGAAAATATTATTTTTTAGGAAAGAAATAGACATTTTGGACAATTTTTTAATTTACAAAATACTACAAAATAAGAGTTTCATTAAAACAATTAGCTAGTTGCTAGAAAGTAGCATGTATGTTTTCTAAAGATAATTTGAAGGTTGAGCAAGTTCATTTTAAATTAAGACAAGTTCAAGTTTGGACAGTTTCTCAATATTAAGAGAAAATACACATTTAAAAATACACATTTTTAAATGTGTATTTTCTCTTAATATTGAGATGTTCCAACAGTAAGTTGTGGCTATTAAAAAAAAATCCCAAAAGAAAATTGCAAATTTCTAGTATAACCAACAACTGTCTAGAAAACAACAGTGTAAATTCTGTGAAAGTAATCGGTATGTTGTTACATCAAACACAGCTAAAACAGCCAAAGTAACCTGTGAGATTTGGGTAAGTTCTAGAGAGTAACCAGTATATGTATAGTGTTTCTTTAGTGAAAAAATTTAATAATTTTTGGGCAAAAAATACTGAAAAAAATAACCTGCATATTCCAATAAAGCAACTAGCAAGTAATCTGAAGCCTCTGCGGAAGTAAGCTGCAGGTTTTGGGGAGAGCAAGCCACAAGCTCTGGTCTTGTTTAGGAAAAAAAAAAAAAAAAAATCGCAAAAGGCCACAAAGAGTAGGCAGTAACTAACCTCTCTAATCTTCCTTGCACTAATAATTTATTGTTTGTGTTTCTTCAGCTGCAACTTAAAACTGGAAGCTGACAAACCTTTACTTGGGGGGCTTGCATATATATGTTGAAAAACAAGACTCTACAATTTTTGTTCATTAACTCAAACATATTATTTGCTGGTTATTTTAAGTAAAAAAATAAATAAAATAAATGTAAAGTGTTGGTATTATTTTTTTAAACCAAGACCTCCTATGGAAGTTTTTTTTTGTTAGATATTGAATTTCAAAGTTTTGTTGTTTTAGGTTGTAAGAATATATTTATCCTTCTTGTACCTTGTAAAATATTAGCATATTAGAATATTGGAACAGGGAAATATTGCAAAGGCATCACTCAGCAAATAAACTGTATGCTGTAAAAAAAAAAAAAAAAAAAAAAACCCTCAGGTTTGTCATCCAAATTTCAAATGTGCGTCTTTTTTCTCCCTGCTCTGCCTGTACAGTCTTCTTCAAACAGACACGCATATCAACATGCGAGCGTCACACATACCGCCCTCACATTCGACAAACACACACACACACACCTTGAAGGGAGAGCAGTCACTGAGAGACGCCCACGCGTCCACATCAGGCTTTCACATTTGCCTACTCTATCTTCCTCCACCTCTCAATTTCTATCTGCTGCGCTCACGACAAGGCCATCCCCGCCTACAACCTGTCACCACGGTGACGCCGTGTAACGTCACCTCAGAGTGGAAAAGAAGTGTCTGTGTGACACAGAAAGCAAAAGATGAGGCTCCCTGCACGAGTGACCACGGTGGCTGTTGACGTGTGTGAAAGTGGTGGGACAAGTCTTTTTTTTTTCTTTAAAGTCTTTTATGGCGCCTTTTTAAGTTGCAGCGTTGAGATGTTTTAAAGATTCCTGCAGCTATCCGACATTAATAGAGTTACCAATTAGCAGAGTGAATACTGTGGACCTTTTTTAGTGCAAAGCTGACCTCCATCTTTCTCAGTACCTCAGTACCAGAAAAAAGAGGAACTGCTAAAATGTATTCTTGCAGTCAAGCCTCCCTGCTCACAGTCACACATGAATATTTTCTAAGGTCGCTGTTAAGATTCAACCTTTGATCAAAAGTTCATGAGGATAACGGACTCAATACCTCTCAGTCTATCCCCAACTTTCAATTCCGACCATGATCCAACAGCGAGTTCAACTAAGTTTTGCAGCAATTAAAGTAGTTGGATTACTTTTATTTGAATGGTTTAAATCATATTTAGAAAAGAGAACTTTTTCAGGTAATCTTGACCAATGCTGTTCTGAGGCCAAACCTTTAAAGTAAGGTGTTCCCCAAGGCTCAATTCTAGGTCCTATTATGTTTATTTTGTATTTAATGCCTCTTGGTCAGATTTTCCATAAGTTTGGTGTTTCTTTTCATTTTTTTGCATATGATGTTCAGATTTATATGCCCCTTAAACTACAAAATGGGAAAAATGAATCTCTTCTGCTATTGATAGATTGTCTAGCTGAAGTCAAATCTTGGATGGAACAAAGCTTTCTTCACCTTAATCAAAGTAAAACTCTAGTTATATTATTTGGTCAGAATCTTCATGCTACAAATCCAGATCTGATTCTTGGTTCTTTAGCTCGGTTTTGTCAGACCTCTGTTAGAAATCTTGGTTTTACTTTCGACAGCTGTTTAAAGCTAGATAAACAAGTTAGCTCTGTTGTTAGATCAAGTTTTTATCACCTGCGGATTTTAGCGAAAATTAAATCCTATTTTGTTTTACTTTGAAGGACTTATCCATGCTTTCATTACATCCCAGTTGGATAACTGCAATTCATTATATAGAGGCATGGATAAATCACAGATGCAGCGACTTCAATCAATCCAGAACACAGCGGCTCGACTTCTTACTGGAACCAGGAAGCGTGACCATAAAAGGCATATACTGGTCTCTTTACATTGGCTGCCTGTCTTTTACCGAATAGATTTTAAGATTCTCTTATTAACTTATAAAGTCTTAAATGGTTTAGCTCCTTCTTATCTTAGAGACCTTTTTAAATTCCAGTCTGTGTCAAGAAGTCTACGCTCCAATAATCAACTATTACTGACAGTTCCTCGGACTCGACTCAAGAGGAAAGGAGATTGGGCCTTCTCTGTTGTTGCTCCAATTTTGTGGAACTAATTACCTCTTCAAATTAAATCCGCCCACAGCCTGGATCATTTTTAATCGCTTCTTAAAACTTATTTTTATTCCTCGGCTTTTAATTGAAGCAGTGTTTCACATTCTGTTTTTGTTAATTTGATGTTGTTATCTTTCCTGTAAAGCACTTTGGTGCCGTTTTATACCTGTTTTTAAAGTGCTATATAAATAAATTTGATATTGACATTGACTTTATTGGTATTTGGTTTTGCTTCAGTTTATTAAGGTTTGCAGATGTTTCTTTCTGCACAGCACTATTAGGGTCATCACCACAGGTTTAGATGCTGACTGGTCCGCTGTAACATAATGGTTCCTTTATCTTTCAGGGATGTGGTTGTAGATTTGCTGCCATTATGGGGAATATCTGCTTAATGTTTTGTTTAAGCTCAGCTGTGGAATGGATGACTTTGAGATAAGGTGGCCTGCTGCCATTTCTGGTTTAGACAGAAGCCATTTCTACTTTAACCCATCCAAAGGAGCCATATCTCTTCCATCTTTCTCCAATTGCAGTTCAAGTTCAAAGTGTCTGAAATGTTTTCCATCTGAGACTAATATATCTCACTGAAGAATTACTTTAAAAAAAATTGAAATGACCTACTGTACAAACCCTTCCCAGACTCATTAGGATTACGAATTGCCTTTCAATTCACATCGGTGTAGGATGTCCTTCTTGACATTGTGCTGACACACACCGATATGCACTAGACTAGCAATCTACTATGAAGTAGAAGAGCAGGCAATCTGTAAAGTATTTTCTGCAAAAATGTTCCAAAAAATGTTCCATAAAACTGTCTTAAAATAAGATTATTAGATGTTATGCGCTTGGAATAAGAGACTAATGTTGTTTTTTCTTATTTTAAATGTTAATTGTTTTGTTCCATTGGCAAAGTGTCTCAATTAGCTGCTTAATTCAAGGCAAAAATGCACTTATTGTAGGAAAAAATTACTTACTGTTTTCCTTGTTCTTCGATACTTCAAAATAAAAAAGGTGCCATGTGCATTAGAAGTTTTATTTTGAAAGATGTTATTTTAAAGCATTTGTGTTTTAGCACAAGTTAAAAGGATTTTCCTCTTCAGATAACTGAGCTAAAACTTACTAAAAGTCAACAGAACCAACAGTTTTGTTTACTTCTAGCTCTAAAAGGAAGGGATGAATGTACTAAAGACGTAAAAGAAGCGGTGATCAGCTGTGCTCAGAAAAATTGAAGATTTTTCAAATGCAAAGATGCACATGTGCATCTTTATTTGCTGACTTTATTTCCTGGACAAGCCCTTTCAATTGCTCAGCTCCTATTCAGATTTATGTCAGGTCACTAGGTTTGTGTGTTTGTAGGTGGCAGATACACACAGTGGAGAAACCGAAGGAGGGAGAAATTAAATGGAGACGGAACAAGCTGGGCTGATATAAACATTTGCACCACTGTTGGTGGAGTGCGCCGCTGATCGAGGCAGCCGCCGGACGGACAGGTGCAGGAAAATGGGTCGTAGGTGGCTGCAGTGGTAAGAGTTGGTGTGTGCGTAGGGGGGAGAAGAAAGTAGGGCCACGGTTACCCGACCTCCTGGGTTGCTTGAAAGCTTGCAGAAAAGTTGTACGGAGATTGTGTTGTTTTGGGGGGGTTGCTGGATAGGGAGGGCGTTAATTTGCTTTGGGGCAAAAGTGTTTAGCGTGACAGTGGGAGCAGAGTGTGAGAACGAAAAAGAAGAGTAGGTAGGTGCCAAGTCCAACCACAAAAAGCGTCTCCACTGCATGACTCACAATTTCTCCACCTTTTAGGATATGCAACTTTATGTTTCTGTGTCTGAGGCTAAAGCAACCATTACAAAGATAAATGCCATAGCTGCATCTCTCACTGTTTAACAACAAGGTCCTAAGGAAAGTATTTCTGACTGAATACGATCAAATAGGTATGCATTCTGGGAGTGATAAATCATTAGGAGGAACAAAACGGAAAAATATGATGAAACAGCATCATGCCTGTTTTAAGCGTTAACCTACTGTAGTAATATTGCATCATCCTCCTGATTTACATCCAACATTAGCAAACACAAAAAAAAAATACCTGAATGAATTAACACCTTTTGGGAAGGACAGATGCATTTGAAAAGTCTGAGACAAAAAAGCAGTCTTTAAGTAAAAGTGGGGTTCCTTCGTCTACCATATTAACAGCAGAACAGATTCCCTCAGCGTGGTTTCTCTGTCAGATCAAGCCTAATCTTTGTTACCCAAATGCCACAGTGGAACATTTTTGAGCAGAGATAATACACCTCATACAAAGCGCTTTTTGTTGATCAGAAAAGAAATCAGTCCTCCTCTCTAATTCTATTCACTTTGCCTCAGCATGATTAGCACCAAAATAGGCCCACAGCATAATGCTGCCTTCACCATGCTTTATAATGGATAGAGCATTCTTAAGGTCATTTTTTACTTAGTGAAGAACAACATGCCAAAAAAATAAAACTTTATACAGCACAGCATTTGTGTTATGTAAACACAAATTTATATTATTGTGTTTATATTATTGTTATCATCATCATTATTATTGTTATTTTAATAGCCTAAGACTAAATCAATCAGTAAAACCTAAAACTTTGTTAAAAAGGCATGCTCCTTATGGGTGTATACAGCCCTCCAGCAGTAGCTGTACACTTAAAGGTAGAACTACTTTCCACAGTGGTTATGACCACGTTTCAATAACTAAGAACTTTGCCTCAAGGCCGATTCCTGTCATGTCACAGAGGTAAACATCGGCAGGTGCACCACCACACAACCACAATGAAATGACAATGAGTTTGAAAAGCAATACAGAAACAAATTACTGCATCTTGTGAACACCAGTGTCACATGTTTTGCTTACTGAAACGGTAAGAAGCATTGATTTAAAACTAAATGCTGCTTTATGTGGCTTGGTGGGCTAATCCAGCAACGATAGACGAGTTAAAGGTAAAAACATGAGCTCAGTTGGAGTTAAATGATTATATTTTCACCATGTTAAAGCTAGGAAATTTTATATAAATTTAAGATGAAAGCAAACTAGTTCCTGTGTCATCCATTCATCACCAATCTGCAATCTGGGGCTGTGGGTCTTTCTGCTTTAATGAAGGGGTCAATAAGTCAGGAGAACACTTTTTTTTTTTTTCTAAGCAAAGATTTTAAAGCAGGCGTTTTGGACATGAGGGGAGGGGGCCGTCATATCTTTCAGCACAGGAAGCAGCCAAGTTTCAAAGCAGATCACTTCTGCTTTAGGTAGCAAGTCTTGACATACAGCTGCCTGTTAGGCTCAGCTGCTGCAAAGCATAATGCTGGATATGAGCTTCATGTTTTGCATAAGCAATTAATAGACACAATCAGTCTCTGGAGAGAGGATTTTTTGACCATTGTTATTCCACGATGAGATACTTTCGCAACATACAACTATGGATATGTTTAAAAATGAGTAATAAAAAATTTCCGTTGGATTTTCTTTTAACCGACAAAGTTTGAAACTTACAAAACTGGAAAACATGGATCATGCTTTGTGGCTGTATTGCACAGGCATATTGGTCGAATTCATGCACACAGGTTTAAAAATGTTCACCTAAATGATTTAGAAAATGGTGCCTAAGGTCCAAGAATGTATTTAAGTAATGTAATTTAGGTTTGTGCACAAACTGCAAAGCACGGTGGGCTGATTTTCAGCCGATGTTAGTGGGTCACTGTAGGAAAAGGGATTATGAAAGAAGAAAACTACAGCCATTTGGACCTGAATGAACATTTCAGATGATTAAATGATAAACAAAATTCTGTACAACCACTTCCTGTTTTAAAAATACATTGGGTCATTTATTGTATCAATTCACTCTTGTACGATAATAGTAAAGAGTTTATCACAACTGTCCAAAATTAATGATATTTAGGCAAATGATGAGATGAATACTGATACTGACCTAAACTGTAACTACAAATTGTTTATTTTACTGCTTCTCTACCCTAAAGAGATGAATAATTATGTTTGTTTACATGGATAATTGGCACTCAAACCCATCACAACCAAAAAGAGATGTCCGTATATCATAACTGCCGATATTAGTCAGGGGGGAAAGGAAAAGAGGTTGAATGTTAGCAGGAGTAGGGGTTTCATTTATATTACAGGAGAGTCATGTGTCATAGTTTCATATGTTTTAGGAGCTGTGTTTTTCAGACATCAGGTCATAGATGCAATGAATCAGAGGCAAAGAGAGCCAACCAAAGGCACAAATGTGTGCATTTCAGCAGGGTATGAAGCCGAATGTCCAACTGATTATGCATATATTTGATATTTGGGACCAGATTGACACAAAAATGTGAAGTATATGTGTCTAAACAACCCTCCCAATTGCTAATGCTGTTTTACAGACTTGTAAAGCTCCCTACCCGACATTTATCTTCATCTCTGAGAGCTGGGGAAGCCCCTCAGTTTAACCCTCCCTCTTTTAATGAATCCTGCATTCCCAGCTCTCACGTGGCCTCCTGCACTGATCTGAATTGAGCAACTGTGACCAAGAATGGGGAAGTAGCTCAACGCCTGTTTGTACACGAGAACTTCTGCGAGTCTGCATGAGAGGACCGCAGAATGAAAGCAGATAGAGGAAATGGCTACAGTGTAGATAGCGCAGCGGCGAGGTAGCGGATTCACGACTTGATGGCAGGAAAATCTCCTCAGTTGCCTGAGAACTGGGTCAACCAACATTTGAAAACATTTCTTGTGAATTGTTTTGAACCCGTTACTCAGTAGCAAAAGCAGGAAAACCAAATGCAACAACCAGAACAGCAAAAAGATTCACTTTTCATTAAACAGATTAAAGAGTTAAGATAAAGCACTAGGGAGGAAATGTTCCTTCAAACCATCTTATGAAACAGATTTTAGAAAGAGCTGTTGCAACGGCAGTTAAACTGACGTTCATATTTATAACAGCTTTGTCAAACAAATAGAGACACATTTGTGGAAGTGAGTGATTAAAAAGCTGAATAAGTTAGACAAAGCTTAATAAGTTAAATACAGGAAGTAGATATAACTCAATCCTCTATATTTATGAAGATAAAGAAAAAAAACTGAAAAGTTACATTTGAAAAATTTTGTACATCCCACCATCCTAAAGCTTGTTGAACCAAACTAAACAAAAATAAACCAAGTTTAAAGCCAATTTGGTTGTAAGCTGATCAAAGCTAACAACCAAGGATTATTTTATGACATTTCGATGCTGAAAGTTGCTCTGAGAAGATCAAAAATAGAACATTAACATCATTGCCAATCAAAGCTAAAAACAGATGTGAAACTTTAACTGATAGATCTTTCTCTTTAAGCCTGAACTATAGGCTGCTCTCATTCCTTTTACTGTTTCGGTCTGTTTTCTAAAACCAGAAGCTCTTTCCGTATCTTAAAATCGGAGGAGCTTTTGGCTCTTGTGTGAGGAGACCACCTTTTTCCAGTTATTTCCAGCAGAAAATAAGTTTTTCATTCTGTTCTGACTATAAGAAGGTGATTTTAAAGGCTATTTTGACAATAATGCATCTCTTAGCACAGCGTGAAAAAGGGTTAAAAGCTTTAGTTCAACAGCCAATGAATCTGGATAAAGGAATATATTATCTAGTATATAAATGTATTAACCCAGGGGCATTAAATAGATTTGAAACAAAACTGATGTAGTGCACATCAACATCCTTTGATCTGACCTTTAACACATTTAATTGCTTTGACTTTTTTTGCAATCTCAAACTATCTGCTACCAGACCCGTGTGAAGACTGACTGAAACAAAAAACAAAAATAACTACGAAAGAGAAAAAAAAAAACAGCTTTGCCTGACTGATCTAGATAAAGCCTTGATCTGTTCAATTTGGTTGCAGTTATTATTTTTTGGCCAATAAACTTTGAAATTCAGCTGGTTTTTTCGTAATTTCCTGCAAATATTTTTGCTGTATGTTTTGTCTAACAAAAAAAAAAAAAAAAAAAAACTGGACAAAAGTGGGTTGGTTTAACTTTGGATCTTTCCTTAAGAGTGTTTCCTCCACCTTGGTCAATGAGTCATCCACAGAATGAATCTACTAAGACAAAACAAGATCCGGACCACAGAAAGGCGTTCTGATTCTTTAAATGAGACGAGTGAGTGCAGATCAGATCTTTCCTTGTGTCTTACAAAAATTGAATTCTTTCCTGTTGATCCTAAACCCCCTGCCAAAAAACTTCTCATAAAAGACTCTACATAACCTTACTGATTTTTAATTAGTGGTAACGGTAACACATCTACTGTATGGTACAAATATGTGAATTTCTACTTCAAATAATCTTCAGTAAATATATAAGAAAATATATATTCCTGATAAATGTATATACATTTTCATTGACAATTTCTGCAAAAAACGTAGTAAGAGGACTCACCATTGAAGGGGTTAATTCCTCTAGTGATCCTCTGAAGGATGGCATCTTTCACCTCCCTTCTCCTCACGCACTGGATTCCCAGATTCTGGAAACTGTCAATAACATAATGATTAGGAAACCTGAGTGATGCAATATCTTAAAAACAAACAAACAACACAATAAAACCTTTGTGTTTAAAAGTCAAAGCGGTGACGCCGGTTGTGCCACGCGTCTGGTTGTATCACGTTCCGACAAATATTCCGCTCACATTCAAATATTTTCTTGGATTTAGACTCGTTACAACAGGATGACCAGAGGTTGCAAATTGTTTTTTTTGTGTGTATAAATTACTTTGAGAGGGATTTACAAATTTCACGCACTAAAAAGATCCTGACTCATTCATACTCTCACACACGCCACGGTACTCGCACATAAACTTTGTTTTCTCTCTCTCAAGCAATGGGAGTGATGTCACTTGGGGAATTCCCATATTGCCATCTTCATCACAGACATGGGTTTGATAAATATGCTCTGTGTGTGTGTTGAAATGTGTGTTTGGTGTGTGTGTGTGTTGAAATGTGTGTTTGGTGTGTAGGCTGCAGAACAAGTTTGTTTTGATGCAGTTTGGTGGTCACTGGTTTGACACCCTGAGCCTTTTCAAACCGATTAATGAAAAAAAATCCCGCTTTAAGAGAGAAAATACGACGGTCTGTTTACATGAAGGAGAAAGGGACTGTATCTGTGACCGTGTTCTGATGAAGAATGATAATGAATGATAAGCTCCTGCTCAGGAGTTTGGACATGAACTCACGCTATCACTCTGCGGTCGGGGCCAAACTCGGCCTCGTAGAATCCGTCTTTGCAGTCCTTCCCCACCAGGTCGTGTGGATGTGGCCGGTAGGGCTCGTTCTTTGTCACCAGGTAAACACGGACCTTCCCTTTACCGCAGTAGTTCTGGATCTATGGACAAACATGCAAAAGGTTCAAACCCGTCTATAATATAAACATAAATTTAGGGAAACTCTAAGCAGAACGGTGGATTTCCCGTCTAACCTGCAGACTGGGGTAAGTCCTGTTGTTGTCGGAGCTCTTCTCGCCAGGGATGCTGCCGGCAGAACGACCCTCACATTTGTATCTGAAGCGCATTCCCCTCTGCTTGGGCTGCTCGAAGATCTGGATTAGTGGCCCAGGCACTGAAATGCAGGAAGAGTAAAGAGTCTGATTATTTCTTTGTCCTATTTTGAGTTATTATAACTGACCTTATTTCTACTTAACCTTATTTACTCAAAAAAATACATTTTTTTCAAAACCCAAATTTCCAGATTTCTTAAGCTTTGGTTCTAACTATTGACTGGCTAGACACTTAGATGGATGGAAGCTACTTTGAGGACATGCTATGGAAACTCTAACATATTCATATTCTTTAAGACAGCATAGGAACCCTGCATTAAAACCCATCATCCCCAGTCTCATCCTTCCTTCATCATAATCTGAAAAACAACCTATGAGAGTGAATGCATGACAACTAAAACATACTAACAAACCAAATAATTCAACCATGCACATTGCACATGCAATGGTGTTGTTATAACGACACTAATTCGTTGTTTTCTGTGTTTTCTTTTTTGTTCTGAATTTTAAGATCTGAACTTAAATTTTAGACTCAAAGCTCAGTGTTTCACTTTGAAGAATTACTGTAACAGGTCACAACAGGAAACACATGGCTGCACATGATAAAATGGATTCCTTTGAGCCGCTCAGTTTTAGAGTTTGAATCACAATTCGCAGTGGATATGACAGATGCATTTTTTTTTTTGTGACAAGCCTGATAAAAGATCAGAAAGATTACTTTAAAAACTCAAACATTTGTATGTTTCTTTCTTTTTGGACCTAAATATTTACTCATTTTTACCACCATTTTGCATGATTAAACTGAACAAATGGGCTTCCTTGCAGCTGCAAATGAAGAAACCGGAGCTAACTAACGAATCAAACCTCATTCATCTTGAAAAGAAAAGCCATCTCTGACTCTTCTGCTCAAAACAAAACTGACTTCATGTGACATCTGTGTGAGAGAGGAACTAAAACTGAACTGGGAAGCATTTAGTTTTTTTTTTTTTTATCTTTAACAGTTTTCCAGTTATCATACAAAGGTACTAAAAATGCAGCTTTAAGATGACAGCTGAGCGACTCTTTCAACAAAGAGAAAATCCAGCACATACAAAAATATAAAGTAAACAAAGAGAAATACCGGGCATAACAAACAAAACGATGAATTGAGAAAAGCATCCTGTTTAGCAGGTATACACCTGATCCTGCAGCGTAAACCTATTTAATCAACTTATACATGCATTTATTGTAAATCTAAGCAATAAAAAAACTCTGTTAATTATAGTCTCTTAAAAGAAGCAAACCCTACCAGTAAAAAAAAAAAAAAAAAAAAAAAGAGGAAGTGAAATCATACTGCATATATATATATATATATATATATATATATATATATATATATATATATATATATATATATATATACACACATACATAGAGAAAGATTTTCAACTTGTAGGTTTTAGCTTTGAGAATGCAAAAAAAGGATGTAATATAAAAGAAGTAATATTGAATTTAAGGGAAACATATTTTATAAGGTTGGATCAACCCCTAGAATAAAGGGGCATAAAAACATGTATGTTTATAAGCTCTTCAAGACGGATCCTAATATAATTTGATCCAGAATAAGTGCAGCTTTTGTTAACTTAAAAAAATAAGTCAGATATTGCATCAAAGAAAAAGCTAAAATACTAAAAGATCAATTAAAATTTCTAGTTCTAACACAAGTTTAACTGTGGAGTTGATATCTATTTTATATATATATATTATGTATTTCTGTTTTCACCAAAAAGAAATCTAAAAAGGAGATTTTAACCCCTGTATATCGTCCTACAGGTGTGTATCATTGTCATATAAAGTAAATAGCGACCGGCACTACTCACTGTCCATGGTGCGCACAGTTCTCTCACTTTCAGTCGTGTCTCGGGTAGCGCGATGTCGGACAGAAGCGGACAGAGTGACTGCAGAGAGGGAGCCCAACCAGCTTTGTTTGTCATCAGGAGGTCCTATACGGGGGAATTCCCCTCCGTCACGCTTTACTTTCCAAAAAGGACCAATCAGAATCACAGGCTGAGAAGCGGGGGCTAACCAGCCAATGGGGAGGAGGAACAGCTCGAATCACTTCCGCATCTCGAAGCAGCTGGTGACGAAACGCACTGCAATATCGCCCTGTTGCGATTTAAAATAGCAGAGAAATATATGCAAAATAAAAAGGACCTAGGTTTATTTTTGTTCTGGATTTCTCGTGATACTATAGGTATAGACGCGCTGATATGGTTTTAAAACGCAAACTAATTAAAATAGAGAGAATCCGTTTTTGTTGTAAATAGAGTCCCTGAGAGGCGTTGCCAGAATTTTTATTTTTTATAAGGGTGGCCAGGCAATAAGTGGCCGAAAGTGGATCGACACCAGAACCTCACGGTCAATCTACACTGTTCCAACAGGAAAATTAACGAGCAAAACATTTATATTTTCTAAATAAAAAGTAACTATACTTTCCTACAGTCTTTGCTAGATGTAAACATTCTGCATAACATTTATATTTACAAGCACTAATATCTACAGAAATTGATTATTTGATCATTTTTATTTATCTTTGATTTCTCTAAAGACTCCTAGATGACTTGCAGAGACACATATTTTATCTTTACCCCATATAACACAAAATCTAGCTTTGAAAAGAGCATGAATTCTGTAGTTATCTTTGTTGTTAGTATATTGATGTGTATAATTAACCAAAAAAATAAAAGAATGTTTCGAATATTCCACTAGAGTATTACTATTGCAACCATCTGAATTAGAGGGAAAAAAATGGTCAGGGTGGCCAATGATTGGCTGGCCCCCCATCTAGCTCCACCCTGTGTATAACCAGTTAAAATGATGAAATTATATTTTAAGTTTCAGCGCTCAACTATAAAATCTGGAGAAAAAAATACACCAGAGACAATACACGTATTTAAAAAAAGCATGATATTTGTTGATAAAAACATTTTATCAACAAATTTTTAGGGGAGCAGTCTTGATTAAAAGCAATCTTTTAATTTTTATAATAAAACAGTGATCTTTAATTGATATCATTTTTTATTTTTCGAAAACAGATATGACTAGAATATATAAATTTAAGGAGCAGCCTAAATACCACAGATCTACAGTATATTTCCAACTTCCTAACAAAAAATAATTTATACTCTGATGCCTGAAATCAGTACACAGAATAATGCTTTAGCATTTTGGGTTTTGACCCTAGGTAGCTGTCTCAGTTTTTTATAACCCATATGAAAATTCCAAGCAATTAATAGCTTTAGAGGTCTAATTGATAAATGACAAAGTTCAAAGTTGTTTGACACCAGTATTCATCTTTCTGCATTATAACAGCTCCTGATGTTTTTTATAGAATCAAGGTGAACAAAAAGCATAACAAGGACCAAGAACATCACCTCGAACATCTCTCCAAAGCAAAAGAGAGTGGTGGGAGCTATGCCGTAGTGATGCTTATCCCCGTTTCTGCTTTTCAGTGGGAAGCTGATCATAGCTTATAGGAAGACAAGAAGATGTTAAATACAGGAACATCTATTAGAGGCAACAGAGGACTTTAGTCTGGGTAGTTCCTCTCGAGCAGAACCACCCTGCATGCAACAGATCTATAATATAGGAGCTTTAAAATAAATTAAAATTACTTTTATAACTACCTTTCATTAACACACACTTAACATAGAAAAATAGACATGTCACTCATTTCAGAAAGTGAAACCATTAATTGGTCCACTATTAAATGATCAATTTGATAATTGAGGCTGAGATAAACCATATTTTTTCCAGGAAATGTGTGCTGATTGTGATCCTTTCCCCGTCCCTGCTGGATGTGTCTTTGTCACGTCATCATAAGTTTTAGCCATGTTGTTTCTGTGTTAAGTATCTTGTGGCCGAATATTCGGAGCATCCCCAACCCAAATACTAAAACTAAAATAAAACAAAGTACAGGTAAACTCAATACCACAGTTGATTCAGGGCATTTTGGGATCATTATTCTGTTAATTTGAGAAAAATACTGAAATAGTTTGTATAATGCACTAGTTAGATAGCATAATACTGCCACCACCATGCTTACCAACAAATGACTGTTTGGCTTGAAGAAAATATTTTAATACTAGCTCACAAATTTCACCACTTTTTTACTTGTCAAATCACGGTTTGAACAGTTCTAAAAAACAAAACAAACAAAAGAACAAATGTTAAAATATTAGGAATGAAACATTAAATGTGCGAACCGTAATGCACCGAAAAACAAAAAATTCAGACACTTATGTTCTTTTTTTTTAGGGGTTTAATGGATGTATGATTCATTTAAAGGAAGTGGTAAACACATACAAAAATACCCTTTCATAACATTTTAGAAACAAACATCTAAATGACTTGTGTTAAATGCTTCTTAACTGCAGAGAACAAACAGAGTGGTGCAGATTTAATTCAAAATGAACTAGCTGCTATGAATGCCATTAAAACAAAAGATCACATGGTACAAATATGTATATATAAATAATGTGATAAGAAACCGCCGATAATGACCAAGATGTCTGGATGATTTTGAAAAAAAAAAAAAAAAAAAAAAGAGGTACTAGTTTACATTTTAGTTTGGGAAACTGAGCCTGGAAAAAAAAATGAAGATAGTGGTAGCATCACTCTACAAATCCAAACACAAAGCCACTCAGCTTCTGCAGGAGGAGGTGGTGGAAATGAAGTCATCTCCACACGCCTCACTGCCTCCCATCAACACCCCACACAACCTGTGGACCCAGATGAGTTCTAAGAACCTCCACAGGAGGCGCAGAGGGTTAGCACCCAAAACAAAGGGAATATTCTCTCTTGCACATCAACACAGCCATCGTTAAATGCTTGCACACATTCAACCATACATGCATGCATACACACAAAACTCCTCAAAGAACAAAACAACCACAGACTTGCCAACTGGGCTCGGTTTGATCAAAAATAATTTCTACAGTGAGATTTGGTTGAAGGTTTGTGGTAGGAGAGGGATTTGTTGGGATTAATCCTGTAAAGTTCTCAAATTAGCTGTCAGTCAAAGAGAGAAATGCCAAACTGGTAAATAAACACATTGCTGACCTTACCTGCCGATCTTTAGGGAGAAAACTCGCCGAACAAGTGGAGGAATGAGCTGAAAACCACGGACAGACACGGTACAGTGCTCTGGCATCGCTCTGCTGTGATGTGACAAAAAACAAAAACAGTCCTGTTGTAAAGGATGGTTTTCCTAGCTCTTACCAGCTCCTGAGGGGCACCAATGGTGGCAGCAACCAACTGCAAACTGGACACTAATCTAGGCGAGTCCAGCCTATCAGGTCCATAAAGGCCAGGGGTGCATTTTAATAAAAAGAAGAAACAGGCAAACCCTCAAAGAACTCTGCCTGCAACTGGATCTGAACTCATACAATGACAACACAAAGGTCTGGGGATGGAGACAATTTGTTGGTACAAGCAGTGAAAACAAAGAAACAAACAAAAAAAAAAAATAAATTTTTTAAACTTTTTCTTTTTTAGATAAAACTACAATAGAATAATCAAAAGCCTTAAGGATCTTCTGCTTTTTTTAAAGACAAAAAGTTATGTACATCAACATTTACAGTACAGGTATATCTGTGTGGAGGAATTGGTGAAGAATGTCCAAACATCTGCTCTCTCTCCAGCAGTGTTAATAAGAAGCGGATATTTTTTTTAAAATTCAACTGGGAAAAAAAAAAAGAAAAAGGTATATGACATAAAGATCAGCCGGTCTCCCACTTTTAAACACAGATGGAAAAGGAAGAGGAGTAAAAAACTGCTGCTGTAGTTCTCGTGTCATGTCTCTGTGACTGAGTGGGACAGCACTGGCTAGGTCGCAGATCCACGGGAAGAAAATCTGTAATCTCTGAAAGATCTGAGCTGAGGTTTCTGTCCTGCTGCGTCACGGTTCAAAAAGAGCGACCCGAAATCGTCCCCTTTGTGTTTGGCTTGATCGTAGAGGCCCACTGCTGCGCGGGTACGGAGGCAGTCTGTTCAGGCTATGTGAATCCGAGCTTTCTCTGTTTCCTTCAGCCTCTTGGCTTGCTCCTCTACAGACGGAGAGTGGGGTCTTTTTGAGGCCGCTCCGTTCAGAGGGTCAACAACGCGGCTCACCAGAGTGGGGATGGAGCTTCCAACAGGGGGCACCGTGTGTTTGGGTGCTGCATGTTCTACAAAGGCACAAATATATCCGATTTAGTCACATCAGCTTTTAAAATGGGGTCCTGGATGTTATTCTTTATTCCTGACAAGGTATACTTTCGGCAACAAAACAGTTTAGTAACTATGGCTTTAGTGTCTCCTCAATAGTCCCTTTAAAGGACTAAATGGACTCACTTGAGCCGATGACGGGAATGGACATGCCCTTTTCCTCGCTGGCAGTAGGAGCATCTGGGGTGGGAGCGCTCTCAAACACTGGGGCCTTGGGAGGCGTGATGCTGCTCAAACACATTAACACAAAAAACACAATCTCAATCAGTTCGCTGTGTTCTACAGGCAAACCTGTGGCAATCGGAAAACCTTGAATCTGGAACGTACTTGTGGCGGTTGAGGGCCAGTTTAATGGAATTTTTTACAACACGACAGCTGTTGCTGGCTGGCAGAGGAGATGAGGCGTCGGGTAGCTCCATACTTGGAAGTCTCTGATGTGGAAAACAAAAAAAGTATTTAAAAAAAACTGATTAAAATAAACAAAACATTTAACAGACTTAACACTCCAACTTAAGTACCTGTGTTCTTGAGGTATCGGTTGTTGGAATGGGCTTCACCTTTGAGCCAGACAGAGGGGGCTAAGAGAGAAAAGAAAGACTTAATAACTCAACCCGACTTCATCCGAGTCCCTGCAGATTTCTCATGCCCAAATTTCTGGTTTTCAAGGCTGAGATTAGCAAAGCCTCATTATATACACAGATCATTAAGATCAATATTAGCCCTCTAAAAAAGAAATGAATAAAAATCAAAGTGCGGAAATATCAGTGGACATATTCAAAAATGGGTGATAACAAATAAGCAGATTGATGCAAAGATTTATTGTAAGAACTAGTTTAAAATGAACCAGGTATGAATGGAATGGAGGCATGTTTTCACAGCAAAAGCTGATATAAAAGTAAAAAATGTGTCGAATTAATGTGTTTGGCCTTAATTTGATTTTGTTAATAATCTCTAAAAGATCTGAGCTGAGGTATCTGTCCAGCTGCACTTGAAGTAAAGATAATTAAGTTGTTTTCCTATTTTAAATGTAAATAATCTTAATCCAAAAAAAGTTATAGTTGGGTTAAATGGACAGATTGGTGAATAGATGGAAAGTAAGGAAGGACTTATTGATACAACATAAGAGAAGGAACAAGTCTAGAAATACATGTATTTATTTCATATTCTAATTTCTGTATTCTCCATCTATTCCAGAATCCAGAAATGAACAGAAAATGTATAAACACTCACAGTGCTGGGTGCTTCTCCATGTGGACTGCAGTCAGAGGATGGTGGGTATGGCTCTTTGAACGAGGAGTCATCACTGGACACCACCTGCTGCAAAAACACACAGCCAGTTTGCTTTGTTTCTACTCCAGCAGCAGGGCAATGTACTTTAGATCTGCAGAGCTTAGAGCTTTCTTACGTCCGAGTCTTTGAGCCTCTTGGCCAGGTCTTCCTGCGTGGGGGAGTGTGGTCTCTTGGCAGAAGCGCTGTGGGTGGGCTCCTCGAGGCCGTTTGGCTCCTCTTTAGGGCTGCTGGCAGCACTGGGCTTTTCGCTCCCACTCAGGACTGAGCTGATGGAGGCGCTGGCTGGTGGAGAGGCAGGCTTTGCTTTAACTAAGGCCTCTGTGGAACGTGAAGAGATGCCATAATGCATTTCATGTTTGACTAGAAAAACCCAATTCCTTCAGAACAATAAAATGACATGATATGAGCGAAAGCAGCGTAGAAGTTAATCAGTGACATTTTAACTCACTTGAGAGAGCGACAGACTTGTCCTGTTCTGTAGCAGCGGGTGCAGCTGTGCTCGATGTTGCTGCGGCTGCGCCTGTCGGCAGCACGGCAGCAGCTGCTGCTGCGCTCGATGCTGGGGAGGTCTCCACAAAAAGCTGTTTTGGAGGACTTACTCCATCTTCTGCGTCTGATACAGGTTTAGGCGGTTTGTTGGTAGGGGAGCTAAAGGGAGTTCCTGAGTCTGTGGAGCTGTCCAGGTGACTGCTGTCCAGGGAGAGCCGCTTTGAACTTCCACCGTTTGAGCTTCTGTTCAATTCTGCTATGCTCTGTGGAGGAATGGGGACATAAATAAAGAGCCACTTAAAAAAAAAACAACATATGTATATATACATAAAAATAACCAAAGGAGAACAGACCCTTTTCTTCTTCTGCACCAGTTCTGGGGGGAGATACTGATGGAGTTGTTTCTTCTTCACATGTGTTGCTTCGATTTTCATCCCCTCTTTCAGCATGTTGATGTTATTAGCTTGTCTGTATACTATAGGAAAGAACATCAGCAATGACAAAAATCACTTCAGTTTGAGAAGATGTTTACTTTTACTCATTCTGGGTATCAATGTTGAAAATCTAGGGAAGTGATTAACACATAAAACTGCCATTACTTGAAATAAATAAAAAAATACAACAATGGATTGGTGCTGAGCTTCACCACCCCCTTATGACCACCACCGGATATTAGTTCAATCTGATTTATAATTCCGAATGAGTAAAGAGAGTTTACATTTGTATAAGGATAATGCTGATAATCAGGAACATACCATCAACCATCCAGGTTTAAAGTTCCACTGTGATTGTTCTGACCAATTCTCCAAAATAGGATAATTTTGACTTTGCTTAGATCAGATAAAATAATCCATAATAAATTCAGATTTTTGCACCCCAATTCTTCTTTATAATGCATTCAAGTTGTCTAGTTCATTATTATTACACTCAGGAAAATAGTTCAGTTTCAATAAATCATTAAAAGCACAAAATGAACCTACTAAAATAAACAATGCAGTTGGAATACTTGTGGACAGCTATGCAATTTAAACTAAACTAACTGACTGAATGAGAGCGATGTTTGTTACTGTAGGAGGACCTACCAGTGTCTGTGAAGGACTGGATGTCAAACGTAAGGTCAATGTTGACGCTCTCTGCATTCTCCACCTTCTTGAAGATGATCCCAATAAACCACATGGCAACAAAGTCGTTTCTGTCGCAGAAACACAAACTTTAATGGTATCCAAGAGGCAACATGTTACTCATGAGGCCGTTTTATTTGTACAAGGAGAGTTGGACTCACTCATTGCGGTTGTCTTTGGACCCAGGGAAGGACTGAGGGTTGACATGAGCCAGCGTAATGTACTCATTCCTCTCGAGGTTTCCCACGAGGACACGGATCTTTGACTCTACGAGACCAATCCTGGGAGGAAGCGTTGATGCAAAGTGAGGATTTTTGTTTACAACCCGGTTTTGTTTTTCGTAAATAAGCAAAATACTTCCAAAATACTATGTTTTGTTAAAAGAATAAACTTCAATCTGTAAAACAAAATTCTGGATGAAGAGAAGCAAAATACAGCAGCGAAACCTAACATCCAAACAACTCAAAGAATTTAGACCCGTTTAGCTGCAAATAAGGTAATGACTCATTCACTCACCCTACTTTGAAGCAGTATGCAAAAGTTGTTGAAATGGTCTAGTGAAAGCCTATGTGAATACATACTTCAAACAAACACTAAGCGGGTTTACTTTTTTTTTATTGCTGACAATTGAAGCCCTGTATCAAAAGCCTTTGCCCCCATTAACACTTACCATTCTAAGTGGTTTTCCTCGGTGGATGCACTGGCAGTGAGAACAATATAATGCCTGTCGAGACAAAACACAAGGTAACTCTTCACCTTTTTAAAACATTTTTTCCATCTCATTTCACCCACATGCTTTATACACAGAACAAAAAGCTAAGGTTTAGTGTGTCTGCACAGGTCTACACAACATCATCCACCATAACTAGAGCTAGACCAATAACCTACTGACAGCATTCAGCAGCCATGCCCTGAAGTCACAGAGCCAGATGTTTTTGCTATCCTGTTAGTTTGGTTGATGACGTTGTTATTATTCATTTGTTCAAATGTTTTATTGCATAACACTTCATGCAATTCTGTTGGTTTTATTTGGCAAAAAACATAGAAACTGCAGTATTGGCAACAAAAATCATTTGTTTCAGTACCTGGTTAAGGACTTAGCACCACTAAACATTAAACTATCATGTGGCAGTCATCCATGTTGAGTTCTGTTGAAATTTGTTAAACCAAAGTTCATACCTTAACAGGACAGCTACAACTCTTTGGGATATACCTCTTTACCAAATTTAGTCCTTGATTAGTCCTTACTGCTGTCAGTAGAACCTCTGCCCCCATCTCAAGCTGTAACATCTGACACGTTTTCCTCTATGACTGGTGCTCAGTTTCCACCAAATCTGATTAGCTTTCCTGCAGTTCTGAAGACAAGCATCCCTACAGCGTGATTCTGCAACAAATGTGTTTAACTAGGGGGATTGCCCAATATACGGTCAATTTTTAGCCAAACAATATTCAACATGGTTCTATTTAAGCACCACCTTCCACATGTTTATCATGTCTTTTGCTTTATTCTGATTCTCCTTTATCATCGTTTTCCTTTTTCCTGAAGACGGACTCTCCCATCTGAGCCGTGGCTCACTAAAGCTCCTCCTTCATCCCCACCCTCCACTTGCAAAAACGCATTTGAAATCAACGTTTCCTTCTTCCAGTTTGCAATCATGCACTTTTTTTTTTGCTGATTAACCATATAAAACTAAACCTGATAAATAAAACAGAGGTTATGATGAGGCTGATTATTTCTTTTATAATTTGGTTTTAATAATCGTCATTTGCCCAATCCTGTAAACTGCACATCTGCCTCCTGAATTTTCTTTTGTAAATCCACAGAGGCGGTTATGATTGATATACTTATAAAAAAGGAAGACCTACTTGTACTTCTGGAAAAAGTTGGGTGGTTCAAAGAGTTTTGGCCATTCTGCTTTTCCTTGAAGAATCTCATCTGTGACGCTGAGACCTGTTCATGACGAGCCAGAGAGGTTTAGTCACTGTGCAACACATCCAGAGGCCCTCCCTTCAAAAATCAGCCATTACCGTGTTTAAACTCCTCTGTCATGATGGTGCGTGTTGATGAGGAGACGTTGTAGGTGGAGTTCTGCTGGGGGTAGGCTGGCGTGATGATGGGCATCAGGTGGTATCTGTCAGAGGGGTTCACCTAAAAGAACAAAGAAGAGGAACAAGAGATGTTGGTTTCTGTTAGCAGATGAGAACTTATGCTAACTCAAACAGGCCTGCATAAACTGATCACCAGTTTGTTCTCCATGTGAGAAATTAAGGCAAAACTATAAAAAGACTTTAATGTCGTCAAAAACACAATTATCCTCAGTGGAAGTTTTTTTTTTAAATCAAAGTGTTTTTACTAGTGATATTAAATAAGTCATACATTAATCAGTTTGCATTTATTCAAATAGAGATTGCAGAGTAACAGCTGTGAAAGAAATAAACCACACACAAAAGTACAGAGGGAAGACAAAAGAGGATAAAAATGCAAGTCAAGCATAAAGAGGGTAGATAGCATGACAAATGAGCATCAAAAGGCAAATCTAAACATTATAGGCATTTATAGATCAAGCAAGAATTACAACTGGTTGTATAGAGTTTATTTTTAACAGTACAAAGATTACAGAAATAAAAAGAAATTCACAATTTTGTTTGTTTCCAATTACTTTCAATACAACTTTATTTCTCCAGCACTAAGTAGGCTGGATGTTTTTAATCATTTTATATTTATTTTGAACAAAAAATAATAGTATAAAAATAAAATCACTGATAGACTGACATACATTTGTTTCTATAGGAACAAAAAAAAATTACACAAGAGCTCGAAGAGTTTGAAAAAGCATTTATTTTAGGCAACAAAATGATTTATAAGTAAATCTCAGACATCATACAGAAAGTAATGGCTTACACTCTGACTGGGAGATAAAATATCCTGCAGCGCCCCCTGGTGTGTGTAAGTAACTATTGATTGTCTAGAATCTAAAATCAAAACCAGCCCCAAACCAGCAACTTTTAAAAAACTTCAGATATGATTACAAAGCATTACATCCAAATGAAAGGAGCTCAGAAAGGGGGACCTTGGTAAATCTGATTTTAGTTTTTTTTTGCCATATTAAATTACAAAAATGCAATTTTATATGAATTTCTTACATAGGAGTTTAATTCAAGCATTTAGTTCTGTTTGTTTGAGGATATTTGACTTATAGCTAATATGCACCTATAAATTAATATTTTGGAAAAACAAAAATATCAATATTAACCTACCGAAAAATATATCCATGCACTGTTACACTGCATTCAGTCAACACCTGGTTAGTGCATCAATGTGGCGTGGCCCAACAGCAGCCTTGAGGTAAGCTGAATTGTTGGGTTTGGTGTTTACAATTTTCCTCCTAATATTTCTGCACTGTTTCTCAACTAGGCTTGGGCCAGGCTGGCACTGGGGAGTGTTGGCCTAGTGGTTAGAGCAGTGTGCTTGTGCTCTGAGAAGGTTTTAAATACCCAGTTCAATTCCCACAGCCTGCTCTATGCGTCTCTGAGCAAGACCCTTAACCACACACTGCTCCCCGGGTGCCGCACAAACTGCTCTCCGAGGGGATGGGTTAAATGCAGAGGTAAATTTCCCCATTGTAAGATTAATAAAGTTAAATTATTATTACTATTTTTCTTCTACGCAGTTGTGTGTACCTTTGGCATCCTGGACCAGTACCAAGTGAAGCCAGAATTTCTATACAGAATATCAACAGATGGAAGTAAGAAGTGGTTGACTGTTGGCGTTAGAAATGGCTCGCTCATTCAACCCCCGATTTCAGGCAACCAAATAAAACACCAAATCTACTTTAGTCCGCACCGAGGACCATGAACCACTGATCAGCAGCACAGTTTTTTATAAATAAATCGCAGGAGAGATGCATTTGATATTCTTTGATTTAGGACTCACTTCCCATATTAAACATTTGCAGCCCATCTGTAATGTTTCTCTTGAAGGGCTGTCTCCAGCAGTGGAGACAGTAAATTCAATGGGCTGATTTAACACTCCTCTAGAGGATTTAAGTGTTTTTTTTTTAACATTAGGGCCCATTCATAAAACTTTAAAGGACTAAATGCTTGAAATGCCTCGCTCCATGTGTATATCTGAAATTTTTACCTTTTGGAACAAATTTACAAAAATGTGCAGCTTAATGTAAAGCAGATCAGCTACGTTCCAAATGTCTAGAAGTAGAGTTTGGCAACTAATAGGAATAAATTATGGAATATTAAGTGGTTGAGGGGTCTTTTCTGCAGTCCCTAGTAAAATGTAATGCATGTATAAAGAGTTAATTGATTTAAGTAGCAGTAAGAGCCCCTTGCCTAGCAAAATAAGACTCACATCTGGAGACTGGCCCTTAAAAAAATCCAGAAACAAACCCTTCTTCATACTCACTCTAGGATCCCAAACAGGTAAATTGAGATTACTGTCCTCAGGTTGTTTCAGTAGCACAGGATTCGGCCACTCCCTGAAGGGGGAGAAAAAACAAACTTGGTAAACAGATGCATGCATGCTGAAATACAAAAATTAACACAAGGTATGATTTGTAGTGCTGCCACTAATTTAGTTTAGGATGCTAAGGGAAACGCACCATTTGGAGAAAACCAAGAAGAACTTATGGACAAGTGTGGCAGCTACAGCGTTGGGGTAGAGCTGACAGGTCCTGGCCACCAACATGGCCCACGACACTCCACCAAGAAAGCCCAGGATATTGGAATAGATTCCTCGCCCTGCAATCACATAAAACCCCACAGACTCAGGAGGACAAATGTTTTTAAGTGAGACCACTTAAACAGCAGGTGTGGATTTCAGCAGAACTTACGTTTCGCCCACAGTTTGATGGCCCTCAGTGTCAACCTGAAGTTCTCTTTGTTTGGCACCAGGTATAAAATTTCATCAGTTACTCGACAACCTACAACAAAACACAAAGTCTTATAAAGCTGCAGGCTCAGAGCACCGGGATCCCAGTTAAGATTTAATATCAGCTGCTTTGCGCACCGTTTAGGCTTCGGATGCAGCGAATGTCCAAGTTTTTCAGGATGGAGTCCCCCCTCAGGTCCAGGTTGTCTGGGATGGACTGTAAGGCCAATCTGGCAAAGAGCAGGTCAATCTGCAACATGCAGACAAATGATTAAAACCCACAGATCAAACTTTACAAGCAGCTCATTTAATGTATATGAAGTTACAGGAAACAAATGAATAAACTACAAGCTAGACCTAAAAATACATACAAGACAAAATAAAAAAAGTTACTTTGAATGTTATGATTGAAAACTAGAAGGATATCAAATGAATCCATTGTTTCAAAAACAAGGACAAAGGGCATATAGGAAGATAAGTATTTTGTCTGAAACATTATTGTTATAAGTTATGACCAGGGTCACCTGAAGCTACAGAGATTATTTAATTACACAGAGTAAACTTTTAAAGCAGACAGCTTCCATTGAGAGAGAATATATTCCCTCTTGTTTGCATTCCTGGGCTCTTTTACCATGGACCAAATAAACTAAATGCTAAGCTAAACTGAACAAACTCTTCTTCCATGGAAGCAAGAGCAAAAGCTGATAAGTAGGAACAAATCCTTGAATTTACATAACAGTTGTCAGGTGCTTCTCACATCAGACGTCAACAATTCTAAAAGTTCTCAAGAAAAACAAACAAAACTACAGAAAGTTCAAGTACATCAAACTGGATCTTAAATTAACTATAAAGTATTAACAGAATGTCTAAACTGCTTTGGTCGCTACTCTTCCTGGGCGTCTATAAATATACAACTTTTCTTGCAGCTAATGCTAATAATGTATCTCTCAATTTTCATCTCTCAAAGCGGATAAACAGGTTCGTTGCAGACGTTTATTAGGTTACTCAATCATCTGCACGCATGCTCCACACGTGCAGCTTGATCTGTTATTGTTTGCATCGGGATTCAGATGCGGAAAAACAGGTATTGGTGGCTCACCTCAATCCCATCAAATTTGAATTTAATCACCGGTACAAAAGCATCCTCTACAGCCTGCAGAGAGAAGAACAAGAAAGAAAAAAAGCAGTGTAAAAATAATTTAAAAGGATAAAAAAAAAAAAAAAAAAGGAATACCACACCTTTAAGCCTGTTTTTCAATAAAAGTGTTGATAACCCTTACCCTTAAGTCTTTGATCTCTTCATGTTGTTTCAATTTCTCAAAGAAAGACTGGAAAAAGTCAGTTCTTTCTACATGACGTGGAGCCACACACAAGGCATCAATATCAGCTCCTACAACAAGCACATCACAATTATACAGGTATATATATATATATATATATATATATATATATATATATTTATATACACAAGTATGCTAAATTACTTACAACCAGAGATTGACCGATACAGATTATTTGAATTATTTTAAAAGAAAAAAGGAACATTTATAGACAAATCAAAACATTGGAGGGAGCAGCATCGCAGGTCACTCATGTAATCTCAAGGCATGACTGCTGAAACCCCTAATGAATCAGCCAAACCATCCATCTATCAACCGATATGAGAAAATAATCTTTATGTCCTTTTATTTGTAGTTTTGAATTAATATATTGAACCTCTTTCCATTTTCTATTCCAGGCAGATTCAGACTAAAGCGCCCTGCTCATAGTCAACAAGGTTCTGTCCTCACCCTGACAACACAAGCCCACGAGGACCAGAGAAAGTAACAACACAGTTCAGGGTTTTTCTATTGAGCAGACACATTGAACTTAAAAAAAAAAAGAAAATGGCAAAATACACTTTTTTTAATGACTGTGGTTCAAAGCTCCATGACGGGTCAGAATTTTTTTCCCTAAAACCTCACAATAAGATGCACTTACAAAAAGAACAAAAGAGGCTTAAAACATGAAAACATCACAGCAAGGTGTCCAGTTCCAGGCGGCATAATATGATTGAACAGAACATACCTTTCGTGTGCACTCCAAGTCTGTACGACCCAAATGTAAATATCTTTCCTCCAACACAACTAATGGCCGATGGTGGTAGATTCTGCAAGACAGAAGTTATTAGTGATGTGAACCAGTGGCAGACTTACAAGAAAGTGCAGACAAACATACCTTTAATTCACTGATCTCTGCGATCCATTCTTTAACCAAGTTATTCAGCTTCCCAAGAACAGCAAGTCTGAAAGAAGAGACAGGAATTTTACCGTGTGCAAATGAATAAGTGCTCTTCTACCAAACAGGTAGCTGGAATAACTTACATTTTAGTTCGGCCTTCTGAATGACAGAGCAAACTGCTGTGATTATGAGTTTTTGCATCCATCTGTACTCATGGGTTGCCCAGAACTATTCAGAGGGACCTATGAGAACCCCACACTCCAACAATCTACCCCCTCAGCACTGATATAATTTAGTAAAGTAACCTTATCCAGAAATAAGCCAAATTTATTCACATTAAATTAGGATAATGAAGAAGAGAAGAACAACATGACCACCAGTTATATTATCATCCTTATTAATGCTGGTTCTTAATTAAACTGTGCTTTGTTCTGGAAACAGGTTGGCCTTTTTTTCTTTGATTAGACTTTTAATCATACTGGTTGCTTTAAATTCATTTAAGGAACATATTATTTAAAACCTAGGGCTCAACTTGAAAAATAAATAAGGAGTGATAGTTAAACAACAAATTATCAAGAGAATTTGTGTTTCTCAGATATAGAGATTCCTTCTCGGCAAGCAAATTGACAGAGTCAACTGCTTGACCATTTTTATACTAAAATCAACATAACCATAAAGTTTGTATCAGCAGAACTGGTGAGTATACTATTGACTAGTTATACCCCAAAAGCTAGCTTCCATTTATCCGAGTTATGGAGGAAAAACAGGTGAAGTGCTCTCTCCAGGAGAGAGCAAGGGATGTAAACAATGGAGCCCTCCTCTGCAGTTACACTAGTTTAAACCTGAGTCAAAATGTGGACATCTAGGTTGATAGATCAATCAGGACTACAAGAAAGCGATCCTGGGTATGAATGGAAGAAATAAACCTCAGAGAGAAGTTAAGGAGGGAGCTCTGAATAGAGCCACTGTTGATCACACAAGGAATAAACTCCAGGGCAGGTTCAAGGCTTCAATACACAACCATCCATGTAAACCAACATTTAAGGTCAATAAAAAGTGACTAGTTAACCTAATATGAAGGTCTTTAGATCGTGGGAGAAACCAAAGGTTTCTCCAGAACGTTGTCAACTTTCACAGATGTCACCTCTAACAGCTTTACCCAACATAAATATCATCCCAAAGCCTTTAATACGTTTTCCTTTTCTTTAAACAGTTTTCATATTTTTTAATATAGGCCTTTACAAATTCTCTGAGCTTGTTAAGACATACTGCACAGACTCAAATTGCGGATTTGCTTCATAGCTGCCCCAGTTTTTAGATTGTCTTTATTTCTGATAGCTTTTTTTCCCCACAATCTGTCCCTTTCAAGTGTGGATTTTTTTTTTTTTTATTTGTGTGGCATGGAGACAGAACATAAAAAATCTCCACAGATTTGACCACACTGCGTAGACAGAGCCTCTTTATACGCAGTCAGTGTGAGATGGGAAAAAAAAAAATCAGATCAGAGGAAAAAAATTAAAGGTGTTTGCAACCAGTTTGACCCGGGCTTTATGCACAAATCTAATACACTAATTAGATAACCTATTCAGTTAAACTAAAAAATAAAGATGGACATATTAAAGAATATGAAGAAAGTTTCTAAAAGTCATAAAAAGTGATATAAATGAACTTCACACGTGAATAATTATTCTGTGCTACTGTGGAATCTGTCAGGAGCGCTGATTTATTTGGTTTACAGTAGCTACACACACTGGAATTCTCACCTGTGGTTAAGCTCCTCCTCATCCTCAAAGACACCAAAAGGTTTCATTGCATCACAGAGCTTCTTGGTGTACAAGTGGTCTATTTCTCTTGGGGGAGCCAAGCTTATGGCAGAGGTGATGCCATAGTGTTTCTGAGGCTGCTGCCCACCAGGCATTGTACTGCAAGGAGAAAACAAAAAACAAAATAAGGACATGTTTAGCCTGGCAGATTTTTGGCCTTTAAATTGCAGTAAACCTCTTTTCTGTAGGGGGATTAGATAAGAAAACATGTGATAAAAACAAACAATAGACGTATTTTAAGCGTGATTTTATTTAGCATTTTTTGACAAACAGCCCTGCTTAATGGAAAGTTGGAGACAATTGATGGGCGCCTTGTAAGAGATAATATTGGTTCATAATTTTTTCTTTGCTTATTCAAAATGTGTGTTACTTTGATGAACATTGACACTTGTTTCAGACGTAGGGATGGACCAATACATCCGCCTTCAAATAGTTTGACCCATTACAGAATTTTTTTCTTGCATCATTAGTTCATTAATATCGGTGCATTAAATTGCACAAATCCTGTGAATCGCTGCTTTGTCCATTTCCTATTCATTGCCTTTTTTCCCAATGATTTGTATCTTTTTATTTATTTTTTTTTTTTATATAGAGACTTGTGGGTCATTTTTATCATGTGAATGAGAGGAAACAATAAGCCTCACTCCAAATATTGGGCAGCATACATCAGGGACCTGTTAGAATAATGTCATAACCGGTATCAGCCTTAAAAAAAAAACTGTATTGGTTATTCCCCTTCGCAACTAGTAAAACAGTGATTTAATGTGAGACCCTCTCCAATATTTAGACAACTTTCTGTGTTGATTTTTTTTTTATAAATGCCAGTCCTTATGAAACATCAATTAGAATCAGTCATAAAATTGAATGACTAATACATTATGGCATATTTGGCCTTTTCACTTTAAATGGATATGTTATCAGTAAACCTGCAGCTCAAGTTTAGTAGAATTTAAATTAGTCGTCTGTTAAGTACCCACATACAAAGATTCAACTGGTTATCTTGAGCAAGCAAAGTCCATTTTCAATTGAAAAAAGTCAAATTTTCTCAATTCACTGAAGAATCTGAGCACAATTTTCCCTGCAACAATAAAACGTTACTGTTTAAATCCTAATTGCCTAAAGCAACTTACTAGATCTAAGCTTAAATTAATATATATTACAAAATACATCAGATTAATTTTGAGTAATGTATTCAATGTAAGGTTTTAAAGCATCAGTTAAAACATTTCCCTCTTAAAAGTTTGATAAAAAAAATACTTTATGTTGTGACAACGTCCACAACTGTCACTGTAAATTGAGCTTTAGCAGTCAACCAAAGAAGGTTGAATTTAAAGTGACGCAAAAGTATTAAGTTCTTTTTTTTTATCATTCTGCTTTAAGTAAACGGGAAGTTAGTACTAGAAATTAATTGTTCTGCCATACAACTACAATCTGCTATTCAAGCTGAATTAGTGGACACTAATTAACATTTTGTGTTTTAAAATACGGCAGTTTTAATTCGAAACCTCCCCACGCGATATAGGTATAATTTAGGTTATTGTCAAAAACCCTACCCACCTATGTAGACATTATAAAATGCGTAAAAATAACTGATAGGGATCATTTGTTTTGGCACATTTTTTCACTTTAGCAGATACTAAGTGTTTAACGTTTGAAGGCTGTTAGCCAGTTGAGCAGATTCAGATGCATTGCCGGCTAACTCAAACTGTCTACTGACAGCGACCTGCGTAATTAGCTCTACTTTTCAAACAAGCGTGTACAACTTAAATTTAGTATAATTCAAAAGTTCGGAGCGACTTTACCGAAATAAATGGGAAATAAATTACAAGTGTGTCAACTGGATCATCGACCAGGTTGCTAGCACACAGGCTACAAACAGGTTGGAATGGCTAACAAATTAGCTAATTTACTAGCTTGGCAAGTTTTTAGTTAGCTGATACGGAGCGATGGTTCAACTAACTACCCTCTTTCTGGTCTAAGACATTAAGAATTCACGTTTGGTGAAAGAAAAACTCCAAGGTGAATTTTCAAAAGTTTAGAAACAACAAAGAAGCTAGCTAACGGCGGCTGCAGGCCTTGTTGTGACAGCTGGCTAACATTAGCCTTTAGCCTATTCTTCATGAAGGCGAGCAGAAGCCCCGCTCTGAAGCAGAAAACCTTCTCCATGCTGAACTTACCTTGACATTTCTTTCATGACCCTCTAAAAAACTTGCACTAATTGTTCAATTTTAAATCCGTAAAAAAAAGAAAATAAGAAAGTCAGTCAGTGGGAATGACAACAGCCTCGACCTGATTTCAACAATGGTCACTTTCCAGGGAACAGTTCAAACCTTCCCTCTGAACCGGAATCACAACGGGAGCTAACGAATCCGCTCATAATCCCCAAAGAGCATCCATATCTACTTTATCTTCCAAGTCAAAGAGAATTTTCGGAGATGAGCCGAGCCGAGCACGCTTTTAAGTGCTGTTGTGGGTTGTTTTGAGATTGCAAACAACAAATGTAACGGCGTTTGTTGGCCGACGTCTGGGTGAACCACGCCGAACCACCGCCGTCAGGAGGCGCCGCCTCGTTGAGGGCCACAAATCACGTGACCGCGGCGCATCGACGCAGTTATGCAATGAGCAAAGTAATGCTTAGAAAACATTTAAGAATTAGAGGTTAATTAGAATTAGACTTCCCAGCACTACTCGTGAAAAATATAGATTTTTTTAATAGATGCGTCAGCCAACGTGATACTTATTTGTTAGGTCTTCCCTTGTATATTAAAACTGATGAAGGGATATTTTACTAACATGTTTTTCTTTACAATTAATTTATTTATTCTTCAGGAAAAATAAAAAGCTGTTTTAATGAAAGACAACAAAAATCGCAAACAGATGTGTCCCAAGTATGCCAGGCCTTTGAAGCAGGGGCAGAGCTAGATGGGGGGCCAGGGATGGCCATGGCCACCCTTAGCCAATCATTGGCCACCCCTGTGGCCACCCCTACCATTTGTTTCCTCTGGTACAGACTAGAAATGTTTAAATATATGTGTCTATTTGTTAGCAAAGGCTGTAGGAAAGTATAGTTAGTCTTTATTTAGAAAATTTGGTGCCGATCCTCTTTCAGCAACCCCTCAGTGTACATTGGTTATTGCCTGGCCACCCTTATAAAAAATTTCTGGCTACGCCTCTGCTTTGAAGACCGGAAGGGGTAATCTGTAAATTGGGATAGTCTAGCCCGGAAGTCTTCAACAGGGGATCCGCGACCTCTAGGGGGTCCCTGGAGCGACCTCTAGGGGGTCCCTGGAGCTACTGCATGGAAAATTTTGGTTGATTAGACTTTTTTTTTTATATTAACCGCTGCAATTTTTTACACTAATTGAAATATCTTTAAATCCACATTAACATGAATTCAACACACTGTAGTAAAGAGATAAATGGAGGCAGAAGATGTCTTTCAGTCATCAATATACACATTCAGCGACACACAGGAGCTCTTTCAAGCTGGGCACGGTTTCATTCACAACACCTGTCCCATCAACCAGGAATCAGGAATACTTTAATAATCCCAGGGAGAAACTACTTTTGTTACATTACTCCATCTGTAATAGAGAGACTATAGGTCCAGTTTGATAAAACACAATTTCATACAGAATATATAATTAGGGGGTCCCCGCTCCATCTCGCCATCAGTTTGGGGGTCCTTGGCCTGGAAAATGTTAAAGACCCCTTGTCTAGCCCAGTGGTCTGCAAACAGTCGCTTTGGAGCCACAAGTTGACACTTGTAAATTACTCTTCATCACTATATTTTGAAACAGAAATAAAAAAAAAAAATGTATCCAAAACCAATGGACTCTAAATAAAACAGAAATAGATTTTTTATCCTTTTAAATGCTTCATTGGGATTGCAGCAACCCGTTTAAAAGGTATTTATTCTCTTTTCGCAAGATATTTTATTCTTTCTAAAGCTTATGAAATGGCATGTTGATCAGGTCTATTTAAAAATTATTTGGTACATATCTCTTTAAAAACAGTCACATAATGTTTGCGGCTCAAATGAGTCTTTGTTAAATGGACTGAATGTAAAAATTGCTCTTTGGATTGTAAAGGTAGCCTATCCTTCAGCAGCAGTCCTGCGCTCTTACCTCAGCTTGACTTTAGTTGCCAAGCAACCCTGATAGCAGAAGGCCCAAAACTAAGAAGTCTCATA